CTCTACAGTCTAAGAGATAATAATTTATTAAATTCATTAAGATTAATGATGCTATTTAAACCTTTTAATTTATAGTATAAAAATCTAAAGACTTTTTTAAACCCTTTAAAATGAATTTTTTTTTTAAATCAGAAATTTAATTAAATTTAATTGAGTTTAGAAAAATCTATTAGAAGTTTAGGTAAAAATATTTATTATAAACATATAATTAATCAAAACTGGAAAATCTATATTAAAGGTTTTTCACTAAACTGAATATCTGATCTTATTTTTGCAAATTTGATATATAGGTAAAATGTTATTAAAATTAAGGTATGAGATATAGCAATAATATGATTTATAATAGCATAATACCTATATGATTAATTAAAAAAAATCTTATTTAGAAAATAATCCATAAAGTATTATCAAAAAAGTAGTATATGTAATATATATTACATATTTGTAATACTTTTGTAATTTTAAATAATATAAAAAAAGTATTTTTTTCTTTATTAGTAATATAAATTATATAGTAAATGGTAAGTAATATTTATAGATTTTAAAAGACTTTCAAATTATAGTGCTATGATTAAAGATAGAGCTATAATTAATTTAAAATTTTTTAATTAGTTGTAATTATTTATGAATTTTTATATTAAAATAAATTTTACAAAAAGTTGCAACTTTTTAAGTATAGTATTATCTTTAGTTACGATAACATTTAATATAGATATTTCAGTCCTGGTCTAATAAGCATAATGAACATTTATTATTTTATACATTAATAAAATCAAATGTTGATCTTTTTTATATTGTATAACATTTAATATTAATTGATTTAAAATAATAAAAAAAGATGTAATATTTTTTCAAAAACTAATTTACTATTATGCAATTTTTTTACATTATTATATTGTTTGTTCTTTTTTTTTTACATTTGGATAAAAAATGATCTGTTGATTTCTATTTTAATGAAACTTAAATAAGAGCTGAAATTTTAAGGTTTTATTAATTAATATATATATATTAAAATATATTTTATCAAGTTTATTATAAATTCTAAAGCATTTTTAAAGTATACCAATATTTTTCTTCAATTACTTATTTTTCTTTTTCCTCTTTTTTTTTGTTTTTATTATCTAATACTTTATCATTTAATAATCTATTATTAATATTATTATATCTTTCTAATCTATTATATAGGATTTTATATTAAAGACAACGTTTTATAGAATTTTAAACAATAATTTTACTGATTATTTCATTCTGCAAAACATTTGTAATGAAAAGCACTTCTACATATTAACATTATACCTTCTTCTTTATCAAAACATTTAAATTTTTGATTATAACTATTTTGATATATTAGTTTTTATAACTTTATCTTTACTTAATTAAGTAATATTTAGATCATTTCTATCAATCTTTAACTTTGCTTGAACCATTATTAATATTAATTTTACTTATAAAAATAAAATATATACTTATAATTTTTATTAAAAAATATTTTAAAGCGCCTATCTTTTTTTTGGTAAAATTGTATAACGTTCAATTTCGCTACCAATAAAAGTTAAATGTCCATTATGCTGGTAATAATTTGTCACACCCTTTACTTACTGATGTGAGCATTCAAATATATAACGAGTCCGAACAAGGGACCATTTCCATTTAATACAATTTGTAAATAGGTCGTGTAATCAAACGCATTTCGATCTCTAAGTTTTTTGTTTTTGTTCCATCAACTATTTGATTTGTCCCAAGTTCTATAATGCCGGCCAAAAATCAGTGGGGGTATGTATATGCAACATCACGTGATGGACAGACGGACACGTCGATTAGCAAAATCCTTTGCTCAATCAGTTGAACTAGCAATATTGAAAGGCTTTATTTGAACGGGCTAAGACAATTTTTAGCACCTAAAGAGTTCCAATTATCTAGGACATAAATAAAGATAAACCAATGAACCTATAATAGCATAATAAAATTTATGTCAAATCCGAAAAAAGTATATAATCTCACCAAAACATCATTATGAACCACATCTGCAAAAATGACTCCCTTATCCAGAATTAATCATTTCGTTTTTCTTAGCTCCTGTATTGATCATTATGTAATTCAGCAGTATCAAATGAGGGTAATGCAGGCTTATATATTTTCCATTTTGTGTCAAGAACAATTTTTTACTAAGAACGAATATTAAAATAAATTATTATTTATTTATATAATAATGAAACAATTAAGCTAATAAATGATTTACAACTTACCCATTTCAAATATTTCCTTATTTGTTTAATAAATATATGATTTCAAATGTAATTACTGCTTCTTCATATTCTTCAATAGAACTCAAACTATGACATCATTTCCTTATAGGAACATAAGCGTTTTTCCTAATATTTATCGCTACGAACCACGGTATATTACCTATCTCATCAAAGGTCAATTTGTTCTAAATCCTCGAATTTTATTTGATAATTCGGCTCTTATAACTAGGTTTTTTTCTTTAAAATAAAATAAAATAAAAAGTGAGTATAAATTTTAAGACCATAAACCACGCGAATTCTTATATAATTAAAAATATTCTTATGCCGTCTGGCTTAAATCAACAGTATTGTATTAAACGAATCCTTTTGATAATATTTACCCAAAGAGCCAATTTTTCTAAACTTGATCTTCTCCTTTGATCGATATCTATCTATATTTGTTCCGCATCCTACCTCATGAAATTATTCTTAAGTCTCACAGCTATAACTCTCACAGCTTTATTTTACCAATTCTACATAAAACAAAATAAAAAAACAAGTCTCTGATTCTGTTGTTCTATACATTTATACTTTATGTATTAAGTGTCACGCTTGTTTAAATATCAGAAAGCATTTCGTAAGTTAAGGTATCGGAATGCTAGCATGTATAGATTGATAGCGATTGATACAAATATTATTAATTAGAATTAATCAATAATTTTCAAGACAAATGGAAAAAAAAAGTCTCTACCAGATAATGGATGAATTATTGTGTCTTTATTTTTAAGCTGTCTGGAACATGTAATTTGAATTACATGGAGCGGAACCGAGGCTTCACTGGTCAAGTACATTTCGATAGCAGCAGCAGAAGCAGCAACATTGGTGGTGGTAACTTTGGTGAAGAAAGCAAAACTATTAAAGAGCTACCCAAGCTTCTAATGACATTGAAATGACGGAGGTTGATGACAAGGAATCGGATTCAGCACCTAGAAAATGATAGGATAAAGACTAAGATGGTAAGAATACTAAACACCATTCGAAAATTAATTAATAATCCATCAGAAAAAATTTCAAAATTAATTACACTCTAAATACATCATAAGAAAATTCCATTTAACATTGTAAATTTTCCTTATCAGAAAGTCAAATTCTTGGACATTCATGGATAAAAATGTGTTAGTGAAAAATGACGCCATCTTTTCCCTATGATAAAAATAACAGCATTAGTACTTTATAATAAAGATAAAGAAACTATAAATATATCTTCTTTTTTTATTTACCATACGAATTACAGTACTTTCAATTGTAAACTTAAAGTTCAAAAATATCTAGTCCAATGATATCAGCATAATCTCAAACCGAATCTAGCACATCGTGGCTACCATTAATAACAACTCCTTAGCATTTCTGGAATCGTCATATAATTGTGAGGATCTATGTCATAGCTTAATTGATGTTTTCTTAGTCTGGGTGGGTGATGGCACGAACTTTAATTATTTTTCAACTCTTGGTGAACATAATCTATTGCAAGAGTGCCTGCTGAAAGTTAATGGAATTAATTCCATGTCGTTCCCCTTAACATTCAATGTTTCGAAAAATTGACCAGCTCCTTGTTGTAAAATCAAACCAAATACGCTAAAGGGCAAATCCTTGCCCAAGGATTTCTAATTTTTTTTGGACCAAACGAACTTTATTCGTGTCGGGTTGTATTAGAATTTTTGTTCGATAAGTTCTAGATCTTGACTCCCGTAATGCATTAATAGTCTTTGTGCCAGATACCTGGAAAAACCAACTTTCTTTTTATTAAAGATTTGACATACATCCCTATTGATGAAAACCTTATTGGAAAAATATCCACCAAAGGATGACTTTGAAAACAATGGACAGCTCAATGCAATTGCAAGAGCAATATTGCTTGATGCAAGATTTATTCAATTATGGAAGGAAATCGGATACGTCGAGATAGGTAGTGATTCCAATGATCTTGTCATGTTACTCATCCTTTTTCCTCCATCCAGACCATCCGGATAATATAACTTTTAGATTTTCTTAGATATATGATACTGTATGATTTAACTTCATGTAGTACAGCAACAATAGGTGGATAAGCGGGATGCATTTAAAATGATTTGAATATGATATCACCTTCAGGATAATTGTAATGAATCATTGAATATACTAACCAATGATAATAAAGTTTCAATAATACATTTCCGTGATTGTATCCAAGCTAAACATTGATGAATCCTCAAGACCTCTAACTCATACCTAAATTGGAATGCATTTTCCAAACCTTAGCTTGTCCATCATCACCGATCATCTTGTTGATGAATTTCGTGAAACTTGATTAATTTAATATCTCGTTCAGACAATGCACCTATTGAAGTGTCTTCTAATCTCCTGTAATTGACCTTCTTAGATAAAATTTGATTCTATATTGATATCTTTCAGAAGTAATTACATGATGAACGCCAGAATTTCTAATTTCATAAGATTTTGCACCTGACTTAATTAATCATTGATCTGGTTGAGAAAACGTTTGAAGGTTCTGACCTACGCTTCTTTAACGATACGTGACACTAGATCATGTAATTACAATTGATCAAATTTATTAAAGTAATACCATGCAAAATAATAATAATAGTAAAAAAAAAAAAAATGCGAACATACCATGCTGTTCCTCGATAAGCACCTCTTATATGATCCTAATAAAGTGCCAAGCAAAAATACCGACCAAGTGACGTTAAACACACTACCTTAACACTTTAGTATTGTCTAACACAAAGCAAATTCCAGTGCAAATTTTAAATCTCTAAATGTAAGTACTATAGTTTTGTGCGGAATTAGCATTGTGCAATCTTTCATAAAGCATTTTTCAACGCAATAGAATATTTAACCTACCATCATTTCTGATTAGACTTGAAATATTCTTACTAAGGATGAAATTATGACAGGAACATTTGAATTTAACTTTCAAAAGAGCTATAAGTTCTGCATCAATTGAATATTCCATAGCATCTTGTAATAACCAAACCAATACAACGTCTAAATATGAGGCCATTTAATTGCACGAGAGACAATAATAAATGTCGATCGTAACAAGGGCGATGCAATCCTATTTTAATAACCAATTTTCGTATTTTCAGCTCCATATCCTATATTGATAATAATTGAATCTGATTTTATCGTCAAAAGATCCAATAATTATTTATTATCAATTTGAATGACTTTGTTGTAAACATTGTTTGCTATGAAAGTTGTTCCAATTTTTCTGTTATGACGAGAATTCCAAGATATTCTGTTAGTCATAAGAAGAATTAGTTGAAAAGGAGACTCAAATATAAAATCTATTAAGAGTAATACGATAATTTATTACCTTTTTTATATTCTGATTCTACGAGTTATCTTAACATTATTGGTTTCAAGTTCACAGAAGTTCCAGCGAGTGTGATGAGCGATAAAATGATATCCAAAAATTCTTGAGGAGAACTATAATGCAACAAAGCAAAACAAGTTGGTCTTAAGCAATAATAATCGAATGTATTTATTTAAAGCTAAATTATATAACGTTCTGAATTTAAGAAATATGTAAAAAATATATTAGCATTTATTTCATTACCTTCAGTTTAATTTCTTCCAGTCAAAATATAACCTGCGTAATTAATCTTCGCATGGGTCTTACTGAACATTGAAAATTTTCAAAAAATATCTAGGTTTTTTTTCTCAATAATTTTTGTTTTTTAATTTTGGTCATCGGAACATCAGGCCAAAATTACGTATCTGCATATGTTTAAAAATTGGTCTATTATGCATTATTTTGATAAATATGTTGCACGTTTATAACACGTCTCACAACTCCATGAAAAAACAAATATGATGAATTACAAGAAGCGTCGTTTATTTTTAAGTCTTTTGTAAAAATGTAAAAACAAAAAAAAATATTTAGATACCAATTTATATGCAGCCAATGAAATGTCTCGAATTTTATTTCAGCATATTATTATCATACGAAAACATGCAACAAGGTGGTAATCTTTCCAATACTAAAAGTATGTTTTTCTTTTTTTTTTGATTGTCAATAGCAAAACATTTAAAATAAAAAAAAATTATAATTAAAAAATGATAAAATTTAAAAATTTAAATAAAAATTTGAATAAAATTTAAATAAATAAAATTTAATCCATCATGAATAAATATAATTCCTTTCACGAACGGTAAAGAACTTGAAAAAAAAAAAAATTTTTTTATTATGCCTTTTTTGTTTTTTTTTTTCCTTATTTTTTATTTTTTCTGGGCTTTACTCTCCGGCCGGCGGATTCGATGTTGGGTAGGTTTGTGTTGATTTACCGAATTCATGATAATTTTAGCGCGTAAAGATGAATGAATAATCTATTAAAAAATTTGTGGATCGGAACCCAACGTTAATGGGTTCATTTGAACCGTTGACCTCCTTTTTTTAAAAAAAAATTGAATTGGTAATTTGTTGTAAAATCGACACCCAACAGAAGGCGCGTACCTTGAATCATGAAATCTCCTTTTTTTTTTTTTTTCTAACAATAATAACCCCAATTTTTAAAGAAAAAATTACGCCAAAGATGGTGACTCGGAGAAAGATTCATCACAAACAAAAGATTTCATTGCGAACTTTCTAATTTTTAAAATGGAATTCAATGATTTCATGATGCGTGCAAAATACTGCAACTTGTGATCCTATAATTGCAATCATTAAGTATAAAATATATATCCCAATTAAAACCAACCAAATTTTTATATTTATCGATTAAATAAATATTCAGATTACATCATGTATTTTTATAATAGTTGATAAAAACTATATACATAAAAAGGTAGAACAAAGACGGTGTATATTTTAACATTCGATTTGTAAAATAAAAAAATTGATCAATCTGATTTATGAGTTCGGAGTTTGATCATGAGTAAACTTTCAGCTTGTAATATACCCTTTTACAGCAATATATTTGCGAAGCCCCTTATCAAACTAAAAAAAAAAATATACATTCGCATACATATACTCATGATAAATATTTATTCTGTTATACTAATAATAAATGATTGGTTTTCTTTTGATATCTATTTGAAAAAGAATTTCACTGTATCACAGGTTATTGCAATAATTACTAATTCAAATGACGAAAGTTTTCAATAAAAAAGCTGGAATTGTTTATCTCACAACATGGCAATTAGAATCCTTTCAGCTTTGAATTATTTCGCGTAAAATCCATTTCCAAAAAAAGGAACAGTGTTACATCTCAACGTTGCATAATTTTTTTTTTTTTAATAATTAGCGATTGAATAATCAAGGGTTCTAAATTTTCCCAACTTTAAATGTGAGCTAAGCTTATTTCAGAAGATGATTTGTGATTTGGAAGAGTCCTCATTGTAATTTTATTACTTTCACTAAAATTTAAAAAAATATACTAAAAATTTTTTTTTTCATTATTGGTCTCTCTTTCTTAGTATATGCAATGTAATGTTCGGTTGTTTACGCATATTTTTTTTTTTAAAAAAAAATTTTTTATCGATTAATTTTAACGCGTTAAAATTTTTAATTTAAAATGTATGTAGTCATATGAATAATCTGAAACTCTTATCTAATGGTCTGTTTACAATACCAATAAAAAGCTTTGAGATAACGAAAATTCCCATTTTTAAACCAAATGAGTGAAAGCTTGGTTTCATTAATTATTTTGTATTGATCAGTTTATAAAAATAAACACTATAAAAAAAAAAATTCCCATACATAAAATAATTGTTCAATATGATTGCGTTGATTATTAATCATCTTGAACTTTTATTGAACAATATTAAGATGAAGCCACAAAGAAATAAAAAAAATTTGAGAAAATTTCACACACATAAGCATGTCATATTAGTGAAGAAATTTCCATAAATACCGTAAACATTATTATTAATTAATATGCACTAATATATTAGGAAGATTGAACCCAAATAAAAAAATCAAGTTTTCAAAACGAAGAGAAAGAATTTCACAGTAAAATACATAAGTGATGCATTACTTACTAAATTCAAATGACAAGAATAAAAAATCTAT